GCTCTTTTCTGTCTAAATAGCTCTTTTCTTTCAAAATAGCTATTTTCTCTGTTTAAATAGCTCTTCTCTCTGTCTTAATAGCTCTTCTCTCTGTCTTAATAGCTCTTTTCTCTGCCTAAATAGCTCTTCTCTGTCTAGATAGTTCTTCTCTATCTAAATTGCTCTTATATTTCCTAATAGGTATTTTCTGTCTAATTAGCTCTTATCTCTATCTAAATAGCTTTTCTGTGTCGAGATAGCAATTCTCTCTCTCGATAATTCATCTCTGTCTAAATAGCTCATCTCTTTGTATAAACGGCCCATCTCTGTCTAAATAGTTACTATCTATCAAAATAGCTCATCTGTCTCTAAATAACCCAGGTCTGTCTATATAGCTTATACCTGTCTATATCACTGTAAATGGTTCATATCTCTGTCTTCATTCTGTACTCCATCCTTCTTTCTGAATAGCTGATCTGTCTAAATAACCCATTTGTGTCTATATACCCCCCCTATCTCTGTCTAATTAGCCTATTTATTTCTATATATATCATCTCTGTCTAAATAGCCCTACCTTCTACAACGATTTTACCCACCCAAATTTATTTTATATTTCTTAATCTTCATTTCATAAAGATTATCCACACACACACACACACACACACACACACACACACACACACACATACACTATAACTGACTGTAATTGGACAGTTTTAACTTGTACTCTTTCCAGGGTTTTAATTCATCTACCTGACATTGCTCTTGCTTGTGTACTCTAACCCCCTTGAGTACGACGACTCACTCCCTTTAGTACAACGTCATTGTACTCAAGGGGTTAAGGTTTGTTACTCACTGGGCGCATTTATTGTACTCAGGAAGGTAGTGACAGACAGACAGACAGACAGATGAGGCAGAGACAGATTGAGAATGAGACAGGAAGAGAAACAGATAAAGAATGAGACAGAAAGAAAGAGATACTGAGGCAGAATTAAACACTGGATTAAACATTTACCCTCATGTACAGCATCACTCATTATACCAAGTAAAATTCAGGTCATGCTTGGTGGCTCTGGTCCACTAGAGCCACCAAGCATGACTACGCGCTAGAGTCTAATAATAATAATAATAATAATAATAATAATAATTAACGGTTTATTGAAAAAATTCTGCAGCCCGAAGGCTGAAAATATACATTGGACATAAATGACTTATTACATACATTGGTGATTTAACAAAAGCCTTCATTAGAGATAGGTAAAGGAACATACAGTGAACATACAGATTAATGTAGGTGTTGAACAGCAAACTCGTAGTGTAGTAACTCCTTCCCAGATGGTGTTAGGAGGAACTCACGTGGTGTAGTAATTACCTCACAGATGGTGTTATGAGGGACCTCACGTAGTGTAGTAATTACCTCACAGATGGTGTTATGAGGGGCCTCACGTGTAGTAACTCCCTCACAGATGGTGTTATGAGGGACCTCACGTGGTGTAGTAATTACCTCACAGATGGTGTTATGAGGGACCTCACGTAGTGTAGTAATTACCTCACAGATGGTGTTATGAGGGAGGTGTAGCCTCACAGTGGGTGTATGGTGTAACTCCCTCACAGATGGTGTTATGAGGGGCCTCACGTGGTGTAGTAACCTCACAGATGGTGTTATGAGGGACCTCACGTAGTGTAGTAATTACCTCACAGATGGTGTTATGAGGTGCCTCACGTGGTGTAGTAACTCCCTCACAGATGGTGTTATGAGGGGCCTCACGTGGTGTAGTAACTCCCTCACAGATGGTGTTATGAGGGACTTGACGTGGTGTAGTGCGTGGTTGTATGTGGGCGTTGTGGTTGTGTGTGTTGTGGTTGGTGGTTGTGTGTTGTAGTTGTTTGTGTGGGGTTGTGGTTGTTTGTGGGGTGATGGTTGTGTGTGTGTGTGTGTGTGTGTTGTGGGTGTGTACGTTGTGGTTGTGTGTGGAGTTGTGGTTGTTTGTGAGTTGTGGTTGTGTGTGGGGTGGTGGTTGTTTTGGGGGGTTGTGGTTGTGTATGGGTGGTGATGGATGTGTGTGTTGGGTTGTGGTTGTGTGTGTGGGTAATGGATGCGTGTGTGTGTGTGTGTGTGTGTGTATTTGTGTGTGGTGTGTGTGTGTGTGTGTTAGTACCATCGTTTTCTCGTCTCACACCTCATCATGGTCTCTCTCTATATATATTCTTTCGAAACTAAAGACGCTTTGGACATATTAATTCATTGCATCACTCAGTTAGGCAGTCAGACCACAGTGGACATGGCGAGGAATATAATAACGGGTGGTAGTGGTGGAGCGCTTACTAATGGTTTGATCATTTACGTGTATCAAGGACTCTGTAAACACTTCCTCATACGCACACACAACATACAGTATACTGTATTAGATCAAGATACTAATTTTACACACATTAAGGTACTGTAACACACACACACACACACACACATTAAGACTTGTAAAACGATATTTTTTTTCATATATCAACACCAGAAGTAAAAACAAAAACAAAAATGGAAATGTTAGAAAATTAATATGTAAATATACAATACTTACACACGTGCTTCATACAGGTCAGTTAATAAGGTGTTGGAGAACTGAGAGACACTGCATACTAAGACGTAACGCATAATAACAACACCAATAGATCAATACGATAACATGCTGGGTTGGTTTAGCATGGTGAGAATAATTATACCTATGATAAAGAAGTAAAAACAAAAACAAAAATGGAAATGTTAGAAAATTAATATGTAAATATACAATACTTACACACGTGCTTCATACAGGTCAGTTAATAAGGTGTTGGAGAACTGAGAGACACTGCATACTAAGACGTAACGCATAATAACAACACCAATAGATCAATACGATAACATGCTGGGTTGGTTTAGCATGGTGAGAATAATTATACCTATGATAAAGTCTTTTAACACAATTCTCACATTTATTTTTATAGCCTTTGAAGGTATAGTAACCTTGGTGAGTTAAGGAGAGATACTTTATGTATACCGAGACATCCATGTGTACCGAGACACTCATGTATACCGAGACACTCATGTATACCGAGACACTCATGTATACCGAGACACTCATGTATACCGAGACACTCATGTATACCGAGACACTCATGTATACCGAGACACTCATGTATACCGAGTTAATGATAGACGTTAAACTAAACACACCTACAGTAATTGAGATTGTGTATACGTCCATCTCTCATTTTCCTGGTAGTCAGGTCTATAGCCTTCAGTACTCACAGCGTCCCACTTCCTACTCCCTGCATTTGACTCTGGTAAATTTTTAGGTGAAAATCAACATAAGAAAATAAGAAAAATCTCTCTCACAGTCGGATTTCTCCATAACATCGTGGTTCATCTGGTATCTGGTTTCTCTGTTTACATCTCCCAGACTAAGTACTTAACATTTGTCCACATTGAATTCCATCTGCCATTTTTCAGACCATTCAAAAAATTGTTTTAGATCTTCCTGTAGTTTTGCGGAGTCCTCGTCAGATTTAATTACACGGCCTATTTTAGTGTCATCAGCAAATTTACTTATGTTGCTGTCTACGTCGATATCTATGTCGTTTATGTAGTATATAATAAATATTAATGGTCCAAGTACTGAGCCTTGGGGTACTTCACTAGTGACGTTACTCCAATCGGATTTAGTGCCGTTAATGATCACTTGCTGTTTCCTTTCCTGTAACCACGCCCTGTTCCACGCGCGCGCGGGTAACTCGAGTGGTAAAGATGAATATGCAACTTGAATTATTTGGTCAAGGGGAGAGACTTCCACCTCACAACTTAAATAGGGCATAATAGAAAGATAAAAAAAACACTCGCATATATTACTACACTGCTATAAAGTTTGATCTTATTGACTAACTTACAATATCTTATGGGAAATTAGTAAGCAATTATATATTTATTCTCGTTAGATTAATGTTCGAGTAAATTAAGTGATTGAAAAAAAAAAATATATATATATATATATATATATATATATATATATATATATATATATATATATATATATATATATATATATATATATATATATATATATATATATATATATATATATATATACTGTATATATATATATATGTATATATTTCATGTAAATCCACAATGAAAACGTGGATAAGATAAATCTTGATAAAATCACTCTGAATTTATTGACGATGAATTGAAACACATTCGTTCCATTGCACAGAAACTCGGGTACCCTTCTGTGTTTGTTGATCGTTGTTTTAAAAGGGCTAAAAAATCCTTTCATTCCTCGCAAACCAGACAAGTTCCTACACTTAAGAATATTTTGACTCTGCCCTATCGTAATGAATTTGTCCCCTTAGTTCGGTCCCTCAAGCTTCTAAATATTAATGTTGTTTTCAAGTATGACTCTACCATTACCAATAAGTTAATAAGGAATAGCCCAAGTTTGAATGTAAATGGAAATGTTTATTATATTCCATGTAGCAAATGTAATTGTAATTATGTAGGACAAACAGGAAAAACACTGCAGCTCAGAATCAAACAACATAAGTATAATATCAGAACAGCATCTGAAAGCAGTGCCTTGTTCGTTCATGTTAGGAATAATAATCACCCCATTGCTGTACTCACCCCTGAAGATGTGAATTACACGAAAGCGCTTGGGAACTTCGTGTTTTCTTCTTTCCTTGTGGTTATCAGCATATACCTAGATCACGCGCACATACAGTGATTTACTTGCATATATATATATATATATATATATATATATATATATATATATATATATATATATATATATATATATATATATATATATATATATATATATATATATATATATATATTCAATTGTAGAGAAGAAATGATTCAGGAGACATTTTTTTTTATTGCCCCTTGAGGAGGCTAGTTTACTTTTATACCGTGGAATAAAATTCCCCCTCCGACATCAGCTGACCTTATAAATGCTGCTTGGCTCCGCACTTCAACACAACACCCAGTCCCAACGGTGGGTGCCCTTGTACTGTAGCTCGTCGCTCCGTTTTATTCGTCCGTCTCCCTACGCCAAAATATAAAACCACTGTAAAAAGGATATCCACTTCTTCTAAGAGATCCCACTGTAATTATTTCAAGCGAGTCCTTCCCTCAACCTCCCTTCCTCCTCTCGGTATATTGGTTGAATCCTTGGGTTGAAGTTATTGTTTTGACGGCGCGCCATGAACATCTCACAAGAGGTAGGTGATCTAAGTCAAAACATATTCTGTTGTTTTATCCCCTTTACTTGTTTTACCCCCCCCCCCACACACACACATGGTTTTATCCTCAATATAAGGTGAATCTTACTATACACAAAGTGAATTATATGCACAACAACGCTTCAATAAATTCACTTAACACACTGGACACAAAGCTAGGTGATTAGGTGAAGATGTTGTTTACTAAGTGTTTTCCTTCGTGACCTGGCTCAACTATATTACCTGATTGAAGATAGCTTATTAAAATTGTTTTCTTTTAATCTACTATAACAGTGAGGTTAAAAGTCAGTCTCTGTCTGTCTGTCTGTCTGTCTCTTTCTCAACACGCAGATGATTTCATTAGTGGCGAGGAGTGTGTGTCACCAACAAACAGATGATAAAACCTTTTAGCTCAGCGACAGTGATTAGGAAGCATTGTGTATCAGCGTTAGTGACGTCAGAGAGACTTTAGCTTAGATGAAGTAAGAGAAGCTTCCCCTGACCCACAGAATATACACAAATTTTCTAAGGGCATACTAAGCTCTTCCTTCCATCCCTTTAATACTCTGGCAAATATCTCATCGGGACCTGGCGACTATCAAGATGGATTAAAGAAACTAAACTTGCATTCCCTAGAAAGACGAAGAGTACGGGGAGATATGGCAGAAGTATTTAAGTGGGTGAAAGGAATTAATAAAAGAGATATAGACAAAGTTCTTATAATATCCGAACAGGGTAGGACGGATTTAAGTTGGATAAGTTTAGGTTTAGGCGTGGTAGACGAAATGAACAAACTTAGCAATTTTGTAGTAAGTGCTGGAACGCTGGAAAGTTTCAAAAGGAGGCTAGATAGATTCATGGATGATAGAGAGTGGTAGTAACTCTCGACAGGAGCTGCCATGCATAGGCCACTCGGCCTATTGCAGACTCCTTATTTTCTTATGTTCTTATTTGCTTACTAACATCGTTACTAGTCACTACTATCTCGCTTCATCTATTTTCTTCACTATCTCTGTATATAGTCGGTGCCTCAGGTATCATGTTTAAATTTTCGGTGGTGAAAAACAACGGGTGTAAATGGGACTGCCCAGTATGGGCCAATAGGCCTGCTGCAGTTTCCTCCATTCTTATGTTCTTATGTTTTGAGACCCAGGGAGCAGTTACATTAATAGGAAACAGCTCATGTATGCTGAGTGGTTACAAATATTCAAAATATTAAGAATGTTTTGCTATTAATATATATATATTGTACGTACATGTGATTGGGTATGGTTATCAGCGACCTCTCTCTCTCTCTCTCTCTCTCTCTCTAACACCAAACAACCACCTTTCACTCCCACTACTGGCGCCATCCAACGTGTTAAGACATTCAGCTGTCACTTAAGTCTTCCTGGTTAACAAATCACCAAATCACTAGCCAGAACGAGCACGTAGAGGATGACAAATGGCCCAGGGAGTAGTAGATTGGTGATGCCGTTGTTCTTGGTGCGTTTTTCCCGCGTCTGTGATCTTTGGTAACGTACTTGTGGCCGGCACCGTGACCCACAATGGTGAACGTGTCGTCACACCTGACAACCTGAACAAGGTCACTGGCGGCGGGGGAGTGGAGGTGGTTCTTAATGCCTAAGTCATGAAGGCAAACATGAACTCAGCATGATGCTTCCCTGTAAGGCGCTGTAAACGCTTTTGCGCTTTGCCTTGCAGAGGGTGCAAGGGGGTGTCCAATAAACTAGCCCCCTCGCGACACAAATCTGAAAATCTGTACAAGATGGATGGACATAATATTTGGGGGTGGAGATTGCTTGTGCTGGTGATGCTCTTGTGTACGTCTTGTTCAGCCATCATCCTCAATAGGTGAAACCATCTTCCTTCAATGGCTAAACTATCTTCCTCAAAGGTTTAAATCATCGTTCTTAAAGGGTTGAACCATCGTCCATAAAAGGCTAAATCATCATCACCCATAGTCTCTAAAGGGTTAAGCCACCATCAGCAAAGGGTTAAACCATCTTTTTCAAAGAGTTAAACCATCGTTCTTAAAGGGTTAATGGATCCTCTCTGGTTTATATACGTAAACTTAATTTGTTTGTTTATGTAACGTCCAGGTACTTAAGTGTGCTATTCAGACACCTGCCAACATCCAACAATTTGATTACTTTCCATTTTTTAAGGAGACCGGAAAGTCTGCTTAAATGCTGGTCACGCCTGTGTTTACAGAATCACTGTGTTTCGGTGGGATCATGTGCATTGACAGTTGTCACCTTGAGAGAGAGAGAGAGAGAGAGACTAATATGGTTTTTTGTTATGCACACCAGCAGACCTCGTCGCCAGCTGAGGAGCTTCATGCCCGTGCCAGTCGACACGGACTGGACGTCTTCGGCCCAGAATTTGCCTGTCTACTAGATTCCCAGGATCCTTTACGACACTTCAGAGAAAGGTGGGACCTTCTCAGTCCTCATGTCATCCATCTCTAGGTCAATATCTTGATTTTCAAAGAATCGTAAATCATTCTTTCCCATAACTATAAGGGGCAAGAGACCGGAGGATAAGACCCTGTTAAGCAATATTTGTCTGGCAAACTGTCCGTTAATAAGACGTCTAGACGCAGATAGTGATATTAAAAATAATTTTATAATGAGACTAAATTTTAGCCCCAGTAATTGTCATTACTATTTAAGTTAATCGTGCTATCAATTTTCATGGTGTATATACAATTAAACGCGTTCCTCACACACACACACACACACACACACACACACACACACACACACACCTTATGATGCCTCGACCCCGTGTTTGGGAACTTAAGGGAACATTGCGACACACAGAAGCCGGTTTTGTTTATAAACAGATGTTGTGATGCTTTGTAAAATTAATGAGTATAATTGTTTCCTATCGTGGATTTTGTCCCCTGCACGAGAAGACAGGGTGAGACAAGCACACTGAGGAAGGCATCATGAATACACACTTGATGTTTAGGTCTGGTCTTGATAATCTATAATATACTTATATGTCTCTTTTCCCGGTACCGTTTTGCTCACCTTCTAGGGAAAGTCAGATATGAAATTCCAGGTTAAAAATACCTGAGAACTTTTGCATAAGCCATCTTTAATAACGGCGGTACTCTTATGATTACGATAGACATGTTACATAACTCAGACCGTCTAGTCTGCTGGCCAGCGGGGCAGTAAGTGAACGGTCTGAGTTTTGTAACACATCTATCGTAAACATAAGAGTACCGCTTACAAGATCACAAACACTTATGGATATTGTCCTGGTGGACGTCGTGGAGTAACGGATGTAACGTAAGTCTTATTCATTCATAGTACCAAAACCTACATGGAATTAAGAGTTATCACCCACAGGTTCGCCTACCCGAGGATGAGGACTTTAAAAGATGTGGATATGAGTCTGGTGAACGCCGAAGACGAGTGTTTGTACTTGTGTGGCAACTCCCTGGGCCTCAAGCCTCGGTCAGCAGATAGACGCGTTCAGGATCTGCTGGACAATTGGGCCGAGTCGTAAGTTTCTCTGACGCAGTTTCTCTTCCCATTCCCTCCTCACCTACTCCTCACCAAGGCTTCCCTCACCTACTACTCCTCACCAAGGCTTCCCTCACCTACTCCTCTCCAAGGCTTCCCTCACCAAGGCTTCCCTCACCTACTCCTCACCAAGGCTTCCCTCACCTACACCTCACCAAGGCTTCCCTCACCTACTCATCACCAAGGCTTCCCTCACCTACTCATCACCAAGGCTTCCCTCACCTACTCCTCACCAAGGCTTCCTTCACCTACTCCTCACCACCACTCCTCACCAAGGCTTCCCTCACCTACTACTCCTCACCGGCTGGCTTCCCTCACCTACTACTCCCAAGGCTTCCCTCACCTACTCCTCCAAGGCTTCCCTCACCTCTACCCTCACCTCTCACCACCAGGCTTCCCTCTCAAGGCTTCCCTCACCTACTACCAAGCTTCCCACCTACTACCCTCACCAAAGGCTTCCCTGGCTTCCCTCACCTACTCAGGCTTCCCTCACCTACTCATCACCAAGGCTTCCCTCACCTACTCCTCCCAAGGTTTCCCTCACCTACTCCTCATGGCTTCCCTCACCTACTCATCCTTCCCCACACTCATCACCAAGGCTTCCCTCACCTACTCATCACCAAGGTTTCCCTCACCTACTCCTCACCACTTCCCTCACCCACTCATCACCAAGGCTTCCCTCACCTACTCATCTCTTCCCTCACCTACTCATCACCAAGGCTTCCCTCACCCTACTCATCATCAAGGTTTCCCTCACCTACTCATCACCAAGGCTTCCCTCACCTACTCACTCACCAAGGCTTCCCTCACCTCCCACCAAGGCTTCCCTCACCAAGGCTTCCTCACCTACTCCTCACCAAGGCTTCCCTCACCTACTCCTCACCAAGGCTTCCCTCACCTACTCCTCACCAAGGCTTCCCTCACCTACTCTCACCAGGCTTCCCTCACCTACTCCTCAGGGGGCTTCCCTCACCTACTCATCACCAAGGTTCCCTCACCTCACCACTCCTCACCAGGCTTCCCTCCCACTCCTCACCAAGGCTTCCCTCACCCTCTCCCTCACCAAGGCTTCCCTCACCTACTCATCACCAAGGTTTCCCTCCACCTCACCAAGGTTTCCCTCACCTACTCCCTCACCACCAAGGTTTCCCTCACCTACTTTCCCTCACCTACTCCTCACCAAAGTTTCCCTCACCTACTCCTCACCAAGGTTTCCCTCACCTACTCCTCACCAAGGTTTCCCTCACCTACTCCTCACTTAGCTTCCCTCACCTCTCATCACCAAGGTTCCCTCACCTACTCCTCCTCACCAAGTTCCCTCACCTACTCCTCACCAAGGTTTCCTCACCTACTCCTCCCCTAAGCTTTCCCTCACCAAGGGCTTCCCTCACCTACTTCTCACCAAGGCTTCCCTCACCTACTCATCACCAAGGCTTCCCTCACCTACTCATCACCAAGGTTTCCCTCACCTACTCATCACCAAGGTTTCCCTCACCTACTCCTCACCAAGGCTTCCCTCACCTACTCATCACCAAGGTTTCCCTCACCTACTCCTCACTTAAGCTTCCCTCACCTCTACTCCTCACCAATGTAAAACAATATACTGTATGTCGTTATGCAGAGTTAAAAACCCTTTATTTACGAATCTTATCAAATATTATGAACAACGTTTCATATATTCTGATAGCGAGAATAAATCTTCTTCTTCTTCTTCTTCTTCTTCTTCTTCTTCCTCTTCTTCTTCTTCTTCTGTGCTTATTTTTGTGTGTTTATATATAAATACCATGTCAGCGCACGAGCATCCCGTTCTTCCTATGGCTTATATTTTGTCATGTTGTCACGGGTGTTGGTTGTGATGAGTGTTTGTCTGTCATATGTAGCCTGAATTAATGCCACAGCTGATCATGGACTAGCTTTAGCGTAGGATAAAGTAAAGACACTTAAGTTGTAACTGTTGCCGGTCAAGGCGAACTGCTTGTCTCAAATGTTTCTGCAATGCCGTACTGACTTTAACCAAAGTGTTTATAAAGCTGACCTACCACAACAGTCAAAGCTTTGAGGTTACACAACTTGTCAGGCGGTTTGTGTATTCCCCACCGTTTCTACTGCTTTGTTTATTTTATTTTACTCTTTGAGAAAATTCTGTACATATTTTTTTTTTTTTTTTTTTGCGAAATGTTGTTAATCAGGTTCAGTCTTTCAAAGGCTCGTATGATGTGCGTGTACACGAGAGAGTGTACAGTTGTTTTACTGAAAATTTGGCAAAATTTTTGGGTGTTGTTGCTTACATGTGTCAATAATAAATGAGGTATCAGTCTTTCTCCAGACGAGGATGATCTAACGTACTAACCTTTGAGCATCACTTGACTGACAAACTCTACGAACTTTGCACAGTGCATATGTTTGAGCCACACGAGTAAGCTACACAGCATAACCTCCCGTACTGCATTTAGGAGCGACACTAAACACAGACATTACAATCCTCAACCTCGTCAGTTTGCCGTAACATATTATTATCTATAACCTTTACGAGAGGTTGTCTATTGTGGTGTAAACAAGAGGCCTTCAGAATGTCTTAGATATGGGGAAACAATCGTGAGCACCGAAGCAATGTGTAATGTATCTTTTTTTTTATTTATTGCATCGTAATTGTAGTGTCGGGTCACACAGACATGGTATATGATCACAACAATCTTTCTCTGCTGATGATACTCTAGGGGTGACCTGTTACTTTATTAGTTTCACCACAAATTACAATTCCTTGAAACGAGATAAAACTTTAGTTCCCAGAACTACTTGATCCATCCGTACCACCACACTGTGAGAACCTTGTAAACTTTCACAACTTTACCCAAACAACTGGTGGTAGAATGGTCACCTCGGTGCACCTAGTACTCTCTGTATAGTATGTTAATGACTGTTTGGCTCTCCTTGATCGAGTCTACTTTTGTTTGTATACCTGTACTATCTCGGCCATTTGGATACCCGCACAGTCTGTGTACACATGATGAATTGATAATTATGAACTCAGGTGAAATTTTTACTGAAAACATTCTTATCTAGGAAATTGTTCTGGGTTTACAAGCACTCTAGAAATTTTATCTTAAGGGAAATGACATCAGGATGCTCTTTGTTTACAGGGGTTTGGGGATGCACTTCCAAGAGCCTTTACCTGCTGCATCATGTGACCGGTACGGGCGTGAGGAGATGGGTCGTTTGGTGGGCGCCGACCCCTCCACCGTCACCCTTATGAACGGCCTCACAGTCAACTTCAACTTACTGCTGCTGTCCTTCTACCAGCCCACCAACACCCGGTACAAGGTCATCATTGAGGGTCACGCTTTCCCCTCCGATAGGGTGAGTTGCCTCTTGTTACTCATGACTCGGCGTTGTTGATAGAATTGGGTAGAATGTGTGTGTGTGTGTGTGTGTGTGTGCGTGTGTTCCACTACGATACGATTATGCACTCCTGTCTTGAATAAGTAAACAAACATTTGATATATCAACAAATACCTGTACTTACAACTGGAGGGAACAATTATTGCCATATAAGGTCATCAACACTAACACATTAAAACTGATTACGTTGACAGTAAGTTAAACTTCAATACAATACTAATTGAATTATAATAAACACCGAATCCCAACAAAAAGTGATCTAGTGGTTTGTGGGGATGCTGGTGATAATATTTCTGGCAGGATAAAGATGTTCCAGTAACTATGGTCGTTAGAGTAACTGGTTGTGTGGTTTGCAGTACGCCGTGGTATCTCAGGCTGAGCTGCGAGGGTTCGACCCCAAGGAGGCTGTGCTTGAGCTGAACCCCAGACCTGGTGAACACACACTGAGGACTGAGGATATACTGAAGGTAAGTAAATTGTCTGTCACTCACACACACACACACACACACACACACACACACACACACACACACACACACACACACACAGTCACACACACACAACACAATGCAAAAATATGCTGAAAATAGATAAAAAATATTAGGAAACAAAGGGGGAAAGGCAAAGAAAAGATAGAAAGCCGGGTACGTGATCGTGGTCATGAGGTAAAGAACGACTACATTTTAACTAAGACCGCCATAACATTGTCCATTTTCTTTGATACACAAGTTGTAGAGGGTAACCTTACCTAACTCATGGGTACTGTACAAACCTGAGCGTCGAAAGTGTAGTTAGATAGATGTATATTCAGTAAAATCCTCCTCTAATTGCACATTGTTTCAGCAAGTACATATAAAAATGGACAAACTAAATAGAATGGTAAACACATTATATACATAGACTTAATAACTATTTGTCGCTGTTCAGGTTTGTATTATGATAATTTATTTGATTGGCTAAAAAATCATACATGGATACGTATACTGTATAATCATTCACCGAGGATAACACGTTATGTATATTGTTTGAGATATGGTAGAATAGTATAACTTGTGACAGTTTTAGACAGTGGCGGCTCGTGAAAAATAAAATGGAGGGACTGCAAGCCTCACACAACAGTAGGATACACAAATTTGACCTACCTCAGGTATGAGTTGTAGTTGATGTCCACGAATTCCCTGGGCATGGTAGTAGTGTTGGTGGTAGAAGGTGGTGATGGACCAGTATTAATTGAAAATAAAGTCGGCGTGTCTGCTCTTCGATGTAGCAAAATTGTTTATTACTTTACCCAGCAACGATAAATTAATCATGTTATTCATATGTTTGGCTGACTGCTCATGTTTCACTATTTTCTGTGGCAAATGCCTCAAGTCAGTCACACCACTTTTCGTCCATGCCGAGTCCCCACCAAACAATAAGCGTGGAAAGCAGAATAAAGTATTTGCCTCGTCACAACCACAGAGCCATTCACATTTCTGATAAACACTCATGTTAAACTGGCGTGTATATTCTTTGTTCCTGCTTGTACTGTTCTGTTGAATGGATAAAACTGGTGTAGGTCTTCCTCTTGCTTTGATTTCAGTCTTTTCATTTAATGTCAGCTGGGAAAAGTTGATGTTTTGCAAATACTTCACTCGATTTTCCATCGTCAAAGGGTAATTAAAGAAAGCACGATTTAACCACACCGTCCACACGCAATGTAAACACGTTGTACGAGACTGAGCTGCTTCAAGTGCAGCTCATTGTGCGGCGGCGGCGCCAATTAATAACAGACATGAATAAGAACATAACATAAGAACATAAGAAAGTGGGATACTGCAGGAGGCCGACTGGCCCATACAGGGCAGATCCCTTTCACACCCATCCCAGCACTTGCATGTGCCTATCCAACTTCGTCTTGAAGCTCCCTAGCGTCCCCGATCCTACTATAGCACTCGGTAGCCTATTCCACATATCCACAACTCTATTACCAAACCAGTGCTTGCCTATATCCTTTCTGAATCGGAATTTATCTAATTTAAAGCCATTTGCTCTAGTTATTTCGTTATTACTGAGCTTCAGAACATCTTCCATTTTACCCTTGTTAATCCCACTTACCCACTTGTACACCTCTATCATATCTCCCCTAACTCTACGCCTCTCTAATGAATGTAAGCCTAAGCTTTTCAGTCTTTCTTCATATGGAAGGTTTCTAATATTATGGATCATTTTGTCATTCTTCTTTGTACTCTCTCCAAAGAATCTATGTCCATTCTATAATAAGGACACCAGAACTGAACCGCATAATCCATGTGTGGCCTCACTAATGCTAGGTAAAGTTTCAAGATAACGTCAGCAGTTCTGTTACTCACAGACCTAGATATGAACCCAAGAATCCTGTTTGCCTTGTTGCGAACGCTAATACATTGTTTTCTAGGTTTCAAGTCGTTGCTAACAAATACACCTAGATCTTTTTCACAAACTGAGTTTTCTATTTCCGTGTTACCTAGTTTATACTTAACGTTTGTATTCGTCTTCCCTATCTGTAGTACCTTGCATTTATCAGTATTAAAATTCATTTGCCAGTCTACTGACCACTCATGTAAGGTATCTAGATCTCTTTGAAGGTGTTCAAAGTCACTGTCTGAATTTATCACTCTCCCCATTTTGGTATCATCTGCAGATTTACTAATCCTACTAGTTATGCCTAAATCAAGATCATTAATGAATATAACAAACAGCAGAGGGCCTAATACAGATCCCTGGGGAACTCCGCTTTTGACCGCACCCCAGTCTGACTTTAATCCATTTATGCTGACTCTTTGTTTCCTACCAGTTAACCATGACCTAATCCATTTTAATAATGATCCACCTATTCCATGTGCTTCTACCTTCCTTATCAATCTCTCATGAGGGACTCTATCGAATGCTTTACTGAAATCTAAATAAATTATATCATATGACTTATCATTATCTACCGCTTCATATACTTCTGAGAAAAAGCTAAGCAAATTTGTGAGACAAGAACGTCCCTGGGTGAACCCGTGCTGAGAAGAATGAATTAAGTTGAATGTTTCAAGGTGGCTTCTGATTTTCGTAGCAATAATTGACTCTAGCAACTTGCCTATGATTGACGTGAGACTAATGGGACGGTAATTTGATGCAATTGATTTATCACCTTTTTTGAAAATCGGAACTACATTTGCAAGTTTCCAAGCTTCTGGCACTAGGCCCGATTCTAATGACTTATTAAATAAAACTGCTAATGGATTACTCAACTCATCTCTACATTCTTTTAATATTCTAGCATATACCTCGTCTGGACCAGGCGATTTATGAGGCTTCAGTTTGTTAATTACTTTAAGCACATCGTTACTAGTAATATTGATATTCATCAACATATTTTCTATACTGTCGTTATATACCTTATGAACTTCTGGAAACTGTGCTAGGTTTTCATTTGTGAATACGGAGCGAAAATGACTATTTAACGTACTACACATTTCTAACTCATCATCAGTCATTTCTCCTGTCGTAGTTTTAAGGGGACCTATTGTATCTCTAACCTTTGATTTATACAGTTGATAAAAAGCTTTGGGGTTATTTTTCGATTCGTTTGCTACCTTGATTTCATAATTTCTCTTTGCTTTCCTAATTTCTGTTTTTACCTGTCTTGTTAGGTTCTGATAGTAACCAAGTAAGTGATTTTCGCCTTTCTTAACTTTTCTATATACTCCTTTCTTTTTCCCTAGAAGATCTAAGAGTCTATTATTCATCCATTTTGGTTGGTTCCGTATCGATCTGAATTTTCTTTTAGGGATGTGTTTATTTTGAGCATTATTGATTGTCGCAATAAATTGTTCATAAGTAGCTGCTAAATTAAATTCGGGGTTATCCCGTCCTAAGTTGACAGTTTCCGGAGGTGTGGGGGGGATTAATCTTTTGACCATAGGGTCATCCCTTAGGTCTCTCCTTAAGCTACCGTAATTAGCCTTCCTAAAATCCGGGATCAAGGCCGAATTTTCCTTCTTCCTGCCATCCCATATTATGTTAAAATATATGGCTTTATGATCACTGTTTCCTAGTTCGTCTCCAATCCCAACATCTTTTACTAGATTTTCATTATTACTGAGAACTAAATCGAGGATATTATTTCCTCTAGTGGGCGAGTTTATGAATTGATATAAAAAACTATCTTGTACTACTTCTAGAAAATCTTCAGATTCATTATCGCTAAGTTGATTTTTCCAATCTTTGCCTGAAAAGTTGAAATCGCCTAGAATACATACATTGTTTCTATCAGATGCCTTCTTTATTTCCTCCCATAGCAATTTACCATCGTTCCTACTCAAATTAGGTGGTATATATATAACACCAATGACTACGGATTCACTGCCCTCACCAATCTCTACCCAAATACTTTCATTGTCGCTATTTGTTTTAATGTTTGATTTATTGCAGCTTTTTAATGACACCCTGATATACACTGCTACACCGCCACCTCTCCTTCCTACTCTGTCAAATTTAAATAGGTTATATCCTGGAATATGAAATTCTGCTAAAAAATGTTTGCTGTTTGAATTTATCCATGTTTCCGTTATTGCAATTATATCTATGTTCTCTTTACTAACAATGGCCCTGAGCTGGTCCATTTTGTTACACAGGCTTCTACTATTAGTATAATAAACACTCAATATATTTCTTCCGTTTCTATCTGTTTTACATTTATTACTTTGATGTTTGTTATTATGACTAACTATATTTTCAGCATTATCTACTTCTGTTTCACTACTTCCCAGGACCTGCTTGTTTTTTGACTCCCATTTTCCCCGACCCCTCTCTACTGGCGAAACCCCCCCTTCGGAGTGACAATTTCACTCTCCAGGGATGCAGACAACGTCTTTACCCCCTCACGAGACAAGTGTACTCCGTCGCGACAGTACAGGTAGTCGTTGCCATAAAATCGTTGCCAGTCATCAATGAATGCCCAACCATTGTTTGCACAATGATTTTCCAGTCGGCAATTAATAGCAATTCCCCTGGACAGCCATTCACGACCAACCCCTCTTCTAGGCAAGACACCACATACTATCAGGATCCCTCCCCTATCTCTAATCTTCCCCAGCGCCTCCCTATACCTCTTGAAAAGTTCCTCACTCCTAACCTTACCTATGTCGTTTCCTCCCACACTAGGACACACTACTGGATTGGTACCCTCCCCTGACAAAACTCTGTCTATCCTCTCGGCTACATGCCCTATCCCAGCCCCAGGAAAACATACCCTAGTCCTACGTTTCCTATCTCTCGCACAAAAAGCCCTATCCATAAACCTCACCTGGCTGTCACCAACTACCACGACCTTACCTGTGGGCAGGGTTTGTACAACTGCCCTTTCCTCTCCTTAATCCATACCGTCCTGCCTCTTCTCTTCCTCTCCAGCTTCCTGCAGCACCTGGTAAGGGTTACTGCACTCCACACCCTGGTCAGCTTTCCTAAGCCTGACCCTAGTCCCCTTGGAGACAACCACTCTCCACGCCTGCTCCTCCTTCGCAGGTGTCCTGCTAGGCAGGTCTGATTTTAATAAAAATTCACTTAGCAACGTATTGAAAATAATTAAATAACATATAAAATGATATATTTGTTGGTAGTGTATTATTCAGCTGTCTCTCTAAAGGAATCATATGCCTGGCAGTGAGTGTCTGGGGGGACTGCAGCTCTGCAGCCCTATGCACGAGCCGCCACTGCTTTTAGATTAATAAACAATGCACAATTCTCGTTCTCTTAAAACCATTGTCTTGGACCTAAAGCAACGTGTATGTGTACCAACCTTGGACTAAATTTGAACAAACATCAGGTCGAAATGTAAGTATTTGGAATGTTTGAACCATTGACCATATAAAAGTCTTAAAAAAAATACCAAAATAGAGATTTAAAGGAATCTTGGTATATTGGACCAAGTTCTCAAATCAGTTCGCATAGAATTGATGAAGTGGCGATTAATGGTTAAGTGTCTGCAAGAATGTAAAATAAGTAAAACAATGTCTTCCCCCGCTTAGGAAGACACAATCATAGAAATTCCTTCTTCAGGATAACCAAAAGATGGATAGATTACAGGTTTTCCTCCGTCAGGTGATCAAGAGGAGGAGCTTTTTTGTGAAAGGTCAGGGTTAATTACAGGTGTTCCTTCCTCCGTCAGGTGATCAAAGACCAGGGCCCCAGCATCGCCCTGGTGTGTATGAGTGGAGTACAGTACTACACGGGGCAGAAGTTTGACATAGCGACCATCACTAAGGCGGCACACGATCAAGGCTGCCTGGTGGGGTGGGATCTCGCACATGCCATTGGGAACGTTCGTATTAACCTGGATGATTGGGACGTGGACTTCGCCTGCTGGTGCACCTACAAGGTATTTTGGCTATGCTTTTGTCGTTCATACCAGCTACTCACCCCCCACCCTTCATTTTGTACCCAGTTATTCGTTTTTAATTTTTAACACAATTTTTACTATATTCAACAATACATTTTACATTTTCCTCATGATGTCGACTTTTTCTTATTTCCTCTATTTATTTCCCATTTATTGTCACTGATTTTCATGTTTTATATTCTCAGTACCCCATCAGCGTCCCATCAGTACCTCATTCTTCTGTTGACAAACTGTGTGGATGGTTCTCTTATCGATGACTTATAGTAATCAAACACCCTCTGCCTCCCCCGCAGTACCTGAATAGTGGGCCAGGGTGCATAGCTGGGGCCTACGTCAACAAGCGTCACAATGAGAGAGATGCGCCACACCTAAAAGGCTGGTGGAGCAACAAGGAGTCCACGAGGTTCCAGATGAAACATGAATGTGATGTGGCCCAGGGCGTCGACTCCTTCAGGCTGTGTAACCCGTCACCCTTCCTTGTGGCTATGGTCCTGGCTAGTCTTGAGGTGAGAGAGACACGCAGAGATAGATAGAGAGAAATAGATAAAGTACGATAAAGTAGTCCATTAAGTAAGTTATGCTGAATCCATAAATACTCAACCTAACTAATCTCTTCCTAATTTACAATATTTTACAACCTTTTTCTAAGTTGTAGTTTTGATAAAAGACTCTTGTGTTTTCCATTACTTGTTTGTGGCGTCCTTACAACACTTAGGACCAATATTTACCCACTGTCCCTCCGCCAGATCTTCGAGGACACAGGGATGGATCAGCTGCTACAGAAACAGTTCCTCCTGACGGGGTACTTGGAACTGCTCCTCAAGACCCACTGCAACACCAGTCATATCGGCTCACCCCGGGCCGTCATCATTACCCCGGAAGATGTGAACCAACGAGGCTGTCAGCTGTCCCTCATCTTCTCCTTCCCGCTGCAGGAAATTCACGACGAGCTGAAGAAGCGAGGTGTTGTGGTAAATACAGTTAATGTTTGTATTATAATGTAAATGCCACCACGGGCGAAAGGCGGGGTGAAGGTTTGTCTGGCGTAACACAACTGGGTAGAGAAGAGGGAAGTTATGCCTCCCTCACCACTCCATTCAGCGTCTAAAGCCAAAATTCCACGAGTAGATTTACTTAATGAATAAATAGATGAAGACCACTACTAATATATAGAGATTAAGAACACTAATAACAGATTTACAGTAGATTAAGAACCTCACAAATTAGATATAGATTAATAACCTCACGATATAGATTAAGAACCTCACAAATTAGATATAGATTAATAACCTCACGATATAGATTAAGAACCTCACAAATTAGATATAGATTAATAACCTCACGATATAGATTAAGAGCCTCACAAATTAGATATAGATTAATAACCCCACGATATAGATTAAGAACCTCACAAATTAGATATAGATTAAGTACTACTAAGTGCACACATCAACCTTGTTTACATCATCACACAGTGTGACATTCGGCTGCCCAACGTGATGCGGATCGCCCCGGTTCCTCTCTACAACAGCTTCCAGGATATTCACCGGTTTATTCAGACCCTTCAAGACGTGTTTGAGTTATGTAAGACCTCGGGAGCTTAAGACCACATCAGCTGGCTCCTAATTTATACTTATGCTCAATATTAATGTACGTTTTGAAGGTAATTGTGAATGTCAAGATACAGTTGTAGTGGAATTCTCCCCTACAAACGCTGTTTGTCGCTGCCTAGCCGACCCCACCAATTCCCCAGTGTATGCCTCGTGGTCTAGGTCAACCAGCGCCGCCATACACCACGGAGCGGGGGTCAACTGCTAAGCCACGCCTACCCCCGCTATTTAAGACCTGACCTCGTGGTGATCTGTCTCTCCTTCTACCTACACCAACCAGCCAGCAACACCTCCGCCTGCCTGGCGGTCCTCTCTCCCGCTGGCGAGCATGGCGACCCACAAGCTGTCCTTCTCTGAGCGTCCTCACCAACCAGCTCTCTCTACATCACGCTTGTAACCATGCTGCCTTCCCAGCACCAAGCTGCATTGTACATCCAATGCAACATGTATATAGAGAGCACATTGTGAGTTTCCTTTCTCCATCCCATCCTGAGTGTGAACCAAACAATCTCATACCCCACACAGTATAGTTTGATATGCAGTTCTATATACTAGATGACTGATAGTAGTATTTAAGAGTTGAGATGTATCTTACGGTTGTAATAGTAAGAGGTAATGACTCTAGTCTGTTTTAAACTAGAATTAAGGCCTGAAATATTCCTTTATGTGTTGTGCTTGTACTCTGTGACCTCCAGGGTACTGTTGTCTATACGTGAACGAGATTGACAAGAAAGGGTTTTTAAATGTTAGCAAAAGTTACTACAATGCTTGAAAAGTACAGTATATCCAGTGTTAAAAACAATCAGTGATGTGCCTGAAAGTGCTCGTGAAGTATTAAGTGCAATTATCTAAAGACTGTATAGCGTTAGGTAGAGTTAGTTAAATATTTGTATAGTTTTTTAGATTAATTTAATTAAATGATAGAAAATTTTATAAAATGAAGTGCTGTGTCATCCCGTGCGTAATATACAACTAAATCACCGACATTCTTCACAAAACCTTATGACTAAGTTTGGGGTTTTGTGACTCAGTGAAGGTCTATCACAGTGTGTATGTGTACAGACGCTGATAGTGGGGTGTGTGTGTGTAATAATAATTATAATAATAAACGGCTTATTACTAGAGTTGCAGCCGGTGGTTGAAAATATACAAACTTACATGTGATCTAGACATAATAATATACGTTCAATACATTTACAAGGCTGCGCGATACATAAATCAGAAGCTGTGTGTGTGTGTGTGTGTAATAATAATAATAATAATTAACGGTTTATTGAAAGAGCAGCCAGAAGGCTGAAAATATACAGTTACATATTTGGGGAATGGGTTTCGAATTACAAATATTATACAAGTAACATAAGTGATACAAATAAGATATATAATAACTAGATGGGGAAAAGCTCAAACTACAGTGCATTTCAACATAGTGACAGTGCAAAGTAGTATTTACTGGGAGTGAATACACTGGTTTATCAAGTTATTGATATTTTTACAATGGTTGGGACTGGGCTGTTCTTATAGCGATCAGTTCGTGCACGTATGGGCTGGATGCGGTTGTGGTGTCGAACAGCAATTCTCGGGCTAGGGATCTCAGGTGGTAGTAGGAACCGGTGTCGAGGATGGTGTGGCTTCTTACCAAATTTACAGATGAGGTCGTGGTGATTGTTACATCATCAGACTAAAATATAGACTTACGTATTACAATATTGACGATCCGTAAAATTATTTGTCTTAACATTAACTGGAACTCTCGTGGTTCAGGTGAGAAGAAACATTCATACTTACAAATATACACACATCACCTGTATATTTATAGATACAGTGTATAGTATGTGTGTATTATAGATAGATAGATAGAAGGGAAAGTGATGTAGTACAATATTTCTCATCATCTTTAACACTAAACTAATAACCAGTTAAAACACGTCACTTTGGTTCATTAAGTTTTTATTAATATTTACACTGCTAAAAAGTCTTGTTAATATACGGTATTTACATATTTCTGTATTTTGTACAATTTTGAAATAAGTTACCTCTTATTAATGTAATGTTTTTAGTGTACAGTAATGTTGTTTACCCTTTAGTACAATTTGGATCAATAGTGTACATGTTTTGAATGTAGGAAATGTCGTGTTTATAATTGTTGTTCTGTTAATACCGTATTTTACTTCTAACATTGTATTGAGGTGCCATTAAGGTTTCTGTGTTGTGCTACTTTAATATCACGAGGTTAAATATATAAAATACCACTTTCGTTATTATTATTTTATTTCTGGCTGCGTTTTGTTGGTCTACCACCTGGGTTTTTTCGATCTGACTGATAAAGTGCTTTGCTTGTGAAATTTTGTTTCAAGTTGGGTTTAATACAGCCCCAAACCCGTTCAAGTTCGGTTTTGTTTATCCTTTGTTTTTGACTAAAAGTATTTGTTTAGTTATGAGGAGTTATACTGGTGGGCTGTTATCATCTATCACTACTCCTCCTCCTCCTCCTCCTCTTGTCTCCTTGTCTCCGAATGACTTTAGGGATTATGTCATCGTACAGATCTCTCCCAACTTTGTATTTCCGGGTTAACGTTGTTCTTCCTCTGTCACATCTTCTCTCTGGTCCTTCCTCTAGTCCTCAGTCATTCATTAAAAGAAAATTAAGTTATATACTCACGTCCTTATACTACACGGACTTAATCCCCACACACATACATACACACACAGACACACCCCCATAGCTCCAAACAGTTGCCATGACTTAAACATTCATTACTCCGTTTCACAACTTCCCTAAAACTCATCTCCTCTTTGTAACCATGACACTCCTCATTTTGGTCTCTCCGTTTTCCTTTTTCAACTTGACATCTCACTCAGTCCGCCAGGTCTTGTATAGTCAGTCCTCAATGGGGCGTCCGTCAAGGTGGGTCGCTTAACCTCCTCTGTTTCTTAGTCGATTATTTATTTTTTTCGTAAGTTTGTGCACTGGGACACTAATCATACAACGTTTTAATGTAGTTGTGATACGTTAATTACTGATTGTTTCTCTAGTTCATCTCACAGTCAGCACAGTTGGCGGGTGATATGGTAAAATGTCCCGTCATTGCCTCCGTTTGAGTTTCGTGTCCAGAGTCACCAATATTTAGCAGTGGTAGATTATTAATAAGACTGTTGAGGTTAAAACGTTAATCCCATGCTGCCGGAACCCTAAACCGTAAATAAAAAAATCTTCTTTGCTTAAATTTGACAGAATACACAAACTGACATTTCTGTTTTACATTTTATAGACAGTAAAGTTAACTTCGCCTTATAGTGTTTTGTTTTAGCAGGTGACAAAATGCACTGCTCGGCCTCTGCTTCCCACTCTGTTAATTCACTGTCAACCTCCACTTATAACTGGGCATTTAATGTGACAGACGAGTGATAAAGATCTTTGTTTACATGCCAGGTGTAAGAGACGACTAATGGCGGGGTTGGGGGAGGCGACCATCTTCCCTATATCTTTTTCCATATACTGAGGGTCGGGGGGCAGGGGTCCATAATGTATAAGAATAGAAAAAAGTAAGTTTGTTTAGAAAGAAATATGTGAAATTTATCCCTGATCTTCTACTGCATCTGTTTACACTCGCCCTGACGTACCCTACTTAATACTTACCAATGGATAAATATATTTTTTTTAATTATTTGTTTATATCTTCTTATGTATTCTTGTTATTCCTACAGTATGTTGAGCTGGGTGTGGTCAGTGTGGGTGGTGTTGTGTGGTGTGGGCGTGGGTATGGGCGTGTGGGCGGAGCCTGCTGAGGACCTGCCATCCATACCCCTACAACATCGGGTGGTGCTGGATCAGGAGGGCGCCTACTACCTGCTGTGGACGCCGAGGGAAAAGGATGTTGTGTTCGAGGTGCAGGTGAGTCTAGACTGTGATGGTGGTTTACTGGGAAAAACAAGTCGTGTTTGTTCTACTTTGACGTTGTAAATGTTTTAAAAGTGGAAATAACGATGACAACGTAAGAATAGCCGCATAGTGATAATATAGCATCCCGTGAAGATTAGGCGCCCCAGTTTCTTTCACCAGCTGAGTTGGAGTTAGGTTAACATGAACATAAGAATGGAGAGCATGGAAGTCCGTTTTAACCCTATTGCTCATATAAGCATCCAACCTATGTTTGAAGCTATTCAGTGTATTCGAGTTAATGATGATATTTGGTAACTTGTTCCATTCATCCACTACTCTGTTTCCAAACCAGTGTTTACCTATTTCGCGCCTAAATCTAAATTTGTCTAACTTAAAACCATTGTTACGAGTTCGCTCCTGGTTGGATAGTTTGAGTACCTTTGTAATGTCCCCTTTGTTTAGCCCTGACTTCCATTTATACACCTCTATCAGGTCGCCCCTCGCTCTACGTCTCTCGAGGGAGTGCAAATTAGGATGCTTTTACCTGTCTCTATACTCAAGGTTCCTAATGCCCGGGATTAGTCTTGTCATTCTCCTCTGAATTCTTTCCAAGGATTCTATATCCATTCTGTAATACGGTGACCAGAACTGAACTGCGCAATCCAGGTGTGGTCTCACAAGCGCAAGATATAGTTTTAGGACAACCTCGCTAGTCTTGTAACTAACACTCCTTTGTATGAACCCAAGTACTTTATTAGCCTTGTTAGGAGCAAAAACACATTCTTTGCTTGGCTTAAGGTTCCTACTTATCATTACTCCTAAATCTCTCTCGCAGTCGGATTTCTCTATTGCATCGTTGTTCATCTGGTATCTGGTTTCCCTGTTTACATCTCCTATACTGAGTACTTTACATTTCCCCACGTTGAATTTCACCTGCCATTTTTCAGACCATTCGAAATTTTTTTTTAGATCTTCCTGTAGTTTTGTGGAGTCCTCGTCAGATTTAATAACACGTCCTATTTTAGTGTCATCAGCAAATTTACTTATGTTGCTGTCTATGCCGATATCTATATCGTTTATGTATATAATAAATATAATGGTCCAAGTACTGAGCCTTGGGGAACTCCACTAGTGACGTTGCTCCAATGGGACTTTGTGCCGTTAATGCTCACTTGCTGTTTCCTGTCCTGTAACCACGCCCTAATCCATTTATGGATATTACCTTTGATGCCATGTGCTTCTACCTTTCTAATTAGACTTTCGTGGGGGACTCTGTCGAAGGCTTTGTTAAAGTCGAGATATACCACATCATAATTGTGCCTCTCGTCCACCGATTCGAAAACTGATGAAAAGAATGTTAATAGATTAGTTAGACATGAACGCCCGCTTGTGAAGCCATGTTGGGAATCATTGATCAACTTGTGCTTCTCCAGGTGGTTTCGAATAGAGTTTGAAATTATTGATTCTAGTAGTTTGCCTACTATTGATGTTAGCCTGATTGGGCGGTAGTTAGAGGATAGTGATCTATCCCCTTCTTGAAAATCGGTATTACATTCGCTATCTTCCAGGATTCTGGTACTACACCTGCTTTTAAGGACATGTTAAACAACTCAGCTAAGGGCATACTAAGCTCTTCCTTACATTCCTTTAATACTCTGGCAAATATCTCATCGGGACCAGGTGACTTATTAGGTTTTAGTTTGTCTATTTGCTTACTAACATCGCTACGAGTCACTACTATCTCGCTTAATTTGTTTTCTTCACTATCTCTGAATAGAGTCGGTGCCTCGGGTATCATGTTTAAATTTTCGGTGGTAAAGACAGTTGAAAAATATTTATTCAAATTATTGCTCATTTCTCCGTCATTGTCAGTGAGCTCGCCGGTATCTGACCGTATTGGTCCAATCTTTTCTCGTGTTTTAGTTTGATACATTTGGTAGAATCCCTTGGGGTTTGTCTTTGCCTCCCTTGATATCCTTACCTCATTATTCCTCTTGGCTTTCCTTATCTCAGTTTTAACCCTACTCGCCAATACCTTATAATAATCCTGGAGGTAAATTTTGCCACGATTTATCCTTCTACCTATAGCCTTCCTTTGGCCAGTGATGTTCATTAAATAATTATTTATCCATTTAGGGTCATTGTTGTCTGATCTGAGTTTTTTGTATGGTATGTTCTACCTTTATGCATTAAGTTAGGTGAAGTGAGGTGAGGTGAGGTGGTTGATCTTAAGGTAAAATAATCTGGGGTGCTTAATCATCACGTTATCAGGTAAGATGTTAATATATATGTATCCATTTGTTCATCTGTATAATTTTTCCCTGTGTGTACCTCTGTGTGGTGGTGCAGGTGGCGACACTGGGCTACGTGGGTCTCGGGTTTTCTCCCAACGGAGGCATGAAGGGAGCTGACATCCTGTTGGGCTGGGTGGACCTCCAGGGCCAGATCTACTTACATGTGAGTAAAGATAAGCGAGAGAGAGAGAAAAATATTAAAGAAGTTAGCAGTACTACACTAATAACACGTGTGCTGGCAGATAGTGCGTGTTTGTGGGGGGGAGGGTTTGTTTCTTCAGGAACAATTTAAAGTAGACAATAACCAATGTTATGTAAACCTGTGTCAGGATTTAATGTCTTAAGAGTTGAGAAAAAGAAAACCTGGGAATTAAAATGGTTTAGTTAATATTCTGATAGGTGACGTAAACGTGTATGTGAAAGATCGACACGGATACAAGCACAAATTCTTCACCTTATCACAGATCACCAACTGGGTGATACATAATGTCTCTATGTGTCTGTAATATGTAACTGAAGCATTGGTTGACTCGTAAATAAACCAGGTTTGTTTGTCTAGAGTGAATCCTGCCAGAGTTCAATGTGCATTCTCCAGTGGCATAGTGACGTACCAGGGATTATAAATATGTCAACGTGAGGACGGGTCAGGGAAGTGGGTCAAACGGATGTGCCACAGCAGGTCTCAGAACGCTGTCCAGAATTCATTGCATCTACTTTATGTTCCAACTTGTGGTGCCATGAAATTTAGTTGCTCTCTCTCTCTCTCTCTCTCTCTCTCTCTCTCTCTCTCTCTCTCTCTCCCTTTCCTCCCTCCCGCTATGCTCCCCTGCCCTCTACCCTCATAAGATGTCGATTAGGTAGAACTATTAAGGATGAAGCGAAATGCTGTAACAGCGTCATGAGGTGGACGGGTGACGCAGCATTACCTGACGAACAATTAAGTCTTCAGCTCCTGTGCATCGTGGGTAGACTCTATTTAACCTCATTCCAATGTTTCTCCATTCCTTGCTCCATCCCTCCGTCCCTCACCCGGTGTAAATTACATACCTGGATGATTAAGAGGATTTATTCATTCATGGACAGTTGGATACTTTATTCACGTGTTTTGTCTCACGTAGGACCGCCACGGAGAGGGCAACTGGCGGCCCCCTGTCGACGATACTCAGGACGTGGAGGTACTGGGAGGTTACCAGAACGACACACACACCGTCCTCAGGTTCTCACGACCATGGTACACCTGTGACGACAAACACGATCTCCCACTCTCAGTACGTATGGCTGCAGTGTTATCTGAGCACTCCCTCACCCATTTGTTATCTGAGCACTCGACATTATTATTATTAGTAGTAGTAGTAGCAGTAGTAGTAGTAGTAGTAGTAGTATCATAGGTAAAGGGAAATGTATGTTGCTTTACTGTTTCCATCACAATAAACATACTCTCTACGTACCCACATTCTACCCCTTAAACTTTAACTTAATTGTTTAACATTCAGGGTCACGTAGCTTAACATTCAGGGTCACGTGGCTTAACATTCATGGTCACGTAGCTTAACATTCAAAACCTTTTATTTTTTTTGTACTACCCTCCGTTCCCTTCCACATTACTTCATTACCCTCCACTTTCCCTCCCTCCTACACCTCTCCCTCCCCTCCCACACCCCTCCCTTCCCTCCCACATCCCCCCTACCCTCCTACTCTCTCTCCCTACTAATACTCGACCACCCCCACACAGGAAAACACCATCCGGATAATCTGGTGCTACGGATTAGAGGACCCACGTGACGCAGAGAGTGTGAGGATCCACCACCAACGGGGCACCAAAAGTCTCTACCTGAAGGAGCCCAGGTTCTCTCTCCCTACCTTCAGTGATGACGTCACCACTTGGGATATTCGCTCCTCTAATGTAAGGAAGAAAGTTTTAAAAAAATTATATAAAAAAATTAAAAAGTTCGATTATTTTGTTGTTATTTTTGTTTTTGCTTTTTGAGATAAATGGAAAAAAAATCAGAATATACTAAAGGATTTCAGGAGTTTGTGAATAAATCAATATGTATATTTATCAAAGTTTACAAGATTCTTCATACCATTAGCACCGTGACTGACTGAATAGTGACGAATATCTTGACTCTTCCCTTTAAACAGATGACGGTTTACCTCACTTCTCTAACAGGCTGAGTATCTACCTAAACTCTCCTCCAACATTGAGACAGGAAGAGAATTAGTTCTGCACCCAGTCGTCTTTGTCTGTAAACATTAAAACAAAGGAATATTTCTCCCCACAGATCAGTATACCGGGTGACATCTCTACCCTGTACTGGTGTAAGCTCTTTAAGTTTCCGCCCCTCACTCATAAGACACACATGATCGGGGTGAGTATAAGGAGGTGCGGGTGTTGAGACAGGTGTTAAGACAGGTAGGGACAGGTGTTGAGACTGGAAGCCATGTGTAGAGGCAAGTGAGGATAGGTGTGTGGGTATTATTGCAATTATATTATATGTAACAGATGCTTTAATGTGATATTATAATGTATACACACACACACCTTACATCACCTTAACAACTTTACCTTACCCTCTTTTAACCCACCTGACCACATCTGAACAACCCATCAGTACGAACCAATCATCGAGGCGAGGAACATGCAATACGTACACCACATGCTCCTGTACGGGTGTCACCTTGAGGACGCCCCGACACACTACGAGAAGTGGCTACAGGTAGACGGGTCACAATGCTATAGCAGTAATATGCCTACGTCTTGGCGCTACTGCAAAGCACCCCTCATAACCTGGGCCATCGGGTCTGAAGGTAAGTCACGTGGGTAGTGTTTAGGTGATGGGGGTCGTGCTTAGGTGGTGGGTCGTGCTTAGCTGATGGAGGTCGTGTTTAGGTGGTGGGTCGTGTTTAGGTGGTGGGTCGTGCTTAGGTGATGGGGGTCGCCAGATTTAGGATGATGGAGGGCTCTGGACTAGCTAAGGTGATAGGGGGTCATATTCAGATGGTGGGGGGTCGCGTTTAGGTGATGGTGGTCGTGTTTAGGTGATGAGGGTTGTGTTTTGGTGATGGTGGTCGTGTTTAGGTGATGAGGGTCGTGTTTAGCTGGTGGGTAATGTGTTTATTTTCCTTGAGCCGCCAGAGGTTAGATTAGATAGAGCTTAAGTCTCCGTTTTCTATGGATATTGTAATAGGATTTTCTTTCTTGAGAGGATGACGTAATATTTCTTTATAATACCACGTAATGTTTGTATTTAAATCCCCCAGGTGAGGTCTTTCCTGACCATGTCGGCTTCCCACTGGGTGAGGACCATGGAGGAGCTGATTACTTCATGCTGGAGATCCACTACGATAACCCCTCGTTAAAGCAAGGTGATTAGACCCTCTACAGTAGTACACTCCTGCTACACTCGCTTGTATTTCTGTGCCGGATGTTGTGTCTTCTATGTGTGTTTTTAAGTTGAGTTTATTTTATTTTTTTTTATTTCCGTTAAACGTTTCTTACAGCGTACTTCCAGACACCGTTAACAGAAGGAGTGAACAACTTAGTTAGACGGTGGTGTCTTAAGGTTCTCAGACCGTCGAATGTAAATTTTTTCGTTACTGGGTGTAAGAACGACTTTGGGCCAGTTATTTTGGAGCTCAAGAAGTGATGTAACATCCAAAATTATTTCAAAATACCACTTAAAACTACTCCAGTGACAGAACTTTTTCCAAAATGGCATCAAAATTACACTGAGATTCTACTGTTTTTCCTTAGTGTTAGTAAAGGTGAGAATTACCCAACATTAATAATCTTCCTCCGGCAGGTATAGTTGACGGATCTGGCCTCCGTCTCTACCACACACAGAAGCTGAGGCAGTATGACGCGGCGGTGCTGACAGTGGGCCATTACGTGACACCTGAACTTATCATCCCTCCTGGACAACATTGGGAGACCATCGGCCTCTGTTCTGACGACTGCACACGACAGGTGACGAAAAATTTTGTTTATAATGTGTGTGTGTGTGTCTTTTATATCCATCACATCACCTCAGCTTACTGAAGAGACTCCTCTCTCACAGGGTCTTCCTGAAGGTGGGGTGAAGGTGTTCCAGGCTGTCCTTCACACTCACCTGCTGGGGTCAGATATCTCGCTAAAACACATCCGCGAAGGTCGAGAGTTACCTACCAAGATCAAAGGTAAGTACAGAGTGTCCAGGGATAGATAGATAGATAAATAGATAGATAGATGGGTGGATAGACAAACAACTCGATATATATATATATATATATATATATATATATATATATATATATATATATATAGAGAGAGAGAGAGAGAGAGAGAGAGAGAGAGAGAGACTGACTTACTTGTCTCTCTCCCATCAGATATGAATTACGACTTCAACTACCAGCAAAGTCGGGTGTTGAAGGAAGAGATGACGATCCTCCCCGGTGACGCTCTCATTACCCAGTGTGGCTACGATTCTACAGCTAAAATCAAGCCTGTCTTTGTGAGTAACCCACAATATTTATGAGTAACCAAAAAATGGTTGTGAATGTGTTTGTTTGTAAGTAACTCAGAGTTTCTATGTAACTATTAAGATTTTCAGATTTGCCACCACGAAAGGGGGTGAGTTAATTGGGCACCCATTTGCATCCTGTGCAAGACGAAGCACAAAAGCGTTTGCAGCGCCCAACAGGGAAGCACGCGGAGTTCATTCTTGCCCTCGTGACTCATGCATTGAGGACGCAAGTGCATGAAGGGCCATGGCCTGGCTCTTGACATTATTAGGGACCTGCCACGCCTTGTCATAAACAGATGAACTGTGAATATTAAATCTAACCTAGCTCGTCCCCGCATGACCTAACGTTGAACTCTGACCCTATCTCTTCTCTCCACCCCAGGGCGGGTTCAGTTCAGCGGAGGAAATGTGTTTCGTGTTTCTCTCCTATTACCCACGAGTTGACCTCACTGATTGCACCTCAAGGCCACAACTACTCAAGCTACTTAATACCCTGGGAGTGAATGAATTATACTATGGCCTGTAAGTCTTGGTTTGGTGTTATTTTGTAAGTGTATTTGGGGTTTGGGGGTGTGTGTGCGTGTTGCAGTTATTATTATTATCATTTTTATTATTATTATTACTAGAACTGTATTATTAAAATATTATCACACACACACTGTAAGAACTTCAAAAGGAAAATTTTTATGGTACAGTACTTGTTATCTTTCCTGGAAATGTTTACATTTGAGGTTTATATAAGTCTTTTTGTGTGTGTGTGTGGGGGGGGGGTGCGGGGTGGCATCCTAGCAGAACTTTAGTTACTTACTCCATTTACATGTTTTTCTTGATGCATCTCATCGTGGTAAACATTGGAGTGACTAGTTCCTGTTGGCATTTGTTTATTTGCTTCAAATTCATCAAAAAGCTCTTACCTGATTACAGTTTTTATGGTTCTGTTTGCTAGTCCTAGAGTGTATTCAACGTTGTCATTGTTGGAAGCAAGCTTAGCTAAGGCATCAATTCTATCATGCCGATGTGAAAGAGGATCCACAGCAGCTTGACCCTGATACCCTCGTCAATAAGACATACCCTGTATATGCTTATGTCTGGCTTCAGAGACAAGCGAGTGACAATCTGAATTTAGGATATACAGAGCAAGTAGTGAGGATAAAGAGTCACTAATGATTAGACTGTCAGTGGCAGTGTCTTCAACAAGTTTCAGGGCAAGTTTAATTTTCAGAGAGGATGCCCAGTTACTATTATTAGCTCCATTCTTTATTACAGTACCGTTAGGCTGAGTCTGTGTGTGTGTGTGTGTAAATTGAAGCAGTTTTACTCTATGATGCTTATGTGTGGTCGTAATATGTCTTCAAGGGAGGATGTGTACTTACTATAAGTGTGTACGTAGACAAATGTACCGTATACATGTGGGTGTGTTCATATGTAAGTGTACTGTATAGTATATAATTGACTGTATTTTATGTACAGAAGCCTTCTTAATATATCTATTCCCAGTAAATACAGGAAGATGCCAAAATTACATAGCTTACCCTTGAAAAATCTTTATCTTAAGACTTTCACTGAACCATTAAATATTACATTACAGTGTATGCAATATTGTACAGTAGAGGCAAAAATACAACCACAGCATCTCTAAAGAATGTTAGACAGAGATAAACAAATATAAAAATCATTCTAATTCTACACATTCTAATTCAAATAATGCCGGTACTGATTCTAATTCTTATCAGTCTAATAACGGTAACTTAATTGTTGTTTTCTAAATAATTTCAATAATTCTTGTAGTTAATCTTTAAAAAAACTAATGTGTTATTTCTCTTCACTGCAGAGATCACATCCTCAATTTTGGGTAAGTTAGTTCTCATCAACTGTTTCTGTTCGCTAATGGCAAGTGTATCTACCCAGGTTCTCATTCCTTAACAGCCAGACATTTTTTTGTTTTTTCAGTCCCTGGTACCTAAACGTTTCTTGACTTCCTTATCTAAACGTTTCTTTACTTCCTTATCTAAACGTTTCTTGACTTCCTTATCTAAACGTTTCTTCACTTCCTTATCTAAACGTTTCTTCACTTCCTTATCTAAACGTTTCTTCACTTCCTTATCTAAACGTTTCTTCACTTCCTTATCTAAACGTTTCTTCACTTCCTTATCTAAACTTTTCTTGACTTCCTTATCTAAATGTTTCTTGACTTCCTTATCTAAACGTTTCTTGACTTCCTTATCTAAACGTTTCTTGACTTCCTTATCTAAACGTTTCTTGACTTCCTTATCTAAACGTTTCTTGACTTCATACTACCAAAAAGTTTATTTTCTTTTTAACTTAAAGTGTCGTATATTGAGCCAGGTTACAGACCATTATTATATTACTTGTAGTAGTAGTAGTAGTAGTAGTAGTAGTAGTAGTAGTGGTGGTAGTAGTAGTAGTAGTAGTAGGGTAGAAACTTTTTTAACAGAATAGCTCGGTAATAAAATGGGTGGAGAAGGTATGGCTGTAAGGGGATGTTGAAGGACATAGAAAAAGTAGTAACAGTACCTGTAGTAATAATAGTAGTGTCATCATTATTGTTATTTTTATCACTAATATCCACTTTTGTGTCAGGTTAGGTTAGGTTAGGTTAGGTATTCTGATAGCTCACTCGCTCATACCTTCAGCCCCAAGACGGTGAACAAGGAGTCGGAGAAGGTTGAGGAGTACAACCCGAGTTTTAAGAAAATCTACTTGAACAGGGCCTTCGACCGCCTCTTTGTCAAGTCCCCCGAGGGTGAGTATTGGTTGGTGGTGATCTCTGTTGTTGGTGGCCATTGGAGAGAGAGAGATGTAGAAACTATGTAAATATTAACTCACCGCGTTTACATACTTCTTTTCATAATTGCGAGATATTATCCAGTTCGCCATTACGAATAGTTTAAGTGATGTTCTTTTGCCTGACAGCGATACGCAATACCTCTGTGTCCACCATCTTGGACAACGATGCCACCTGGCGGAATAAGACGCAGTTGACGTCATTCCAGGAGGAGGTGATCTACGGCACACATACTGCAAAATGTGAAATGAAAAATGGACATAATCTACAAGGTGTAAGTTGTACGGCATTCTGTACATCGATTAATAATTACTAGTACTTCATTCTCATTCAAAGCAAGATTCGTTAATGAAGTTGATATTTGATTATTTGAATATTTTTACCTTGTTTTTTTTTCTTTTTATTTCACACATAAATATTACGAATGATGACACACTGTCGTTTTCTCATTCATATATTACTTCTGTTTTCGTACCCTATTCATTTTATTCATGGTATTGTGTAAGTCTTGTATTGTTATAATTGACTTTGATCTCTCATTCTCACAACAGCTCTTAGCTTCACTTAAAACCCATTGAAGTTATTATTAAGCTCACCTGAAACCTCTCAAAGTTAACATGGACTTGAAACCCTCATTCTCAACATTTTTTTTACAGGTATCTAATATTACCAAGTACCCGGAGTTCGTGGCCATACAACAAGTGAGTCCTCCATGTAGTCCCCTTCAGAACTCTTCAAGGGGGGTTCTTCAAGGCCAAGGAGACAGAAAACCGGAGGCTTATACCATTGACTCTTTATCACCACGTTTTCAGGTTTTCATAGGTGAGTTAAGACAGGTGGAAAACAAAAACTTAAACAGGTTGGCTTACACAGTAGTTTAATTTGAGTTCTTGTTGATTTTTTTTATTAATTCTATGATTTTTCTATTCAAAGATTCCTAGAGGTTTGAGATTTTACTTTAGATAGATAGATAGATTTTCCATTTAGAAATACAGAAGCTAAATGTCTGTGTGTGTGTGTGTGTGTGTGTGTGTGTGTGTGTGTGTGTGTGTGTGTGTGTAACCCCTGCCATGCTGTCATTACCACCTGTTTTGGCTTCATCCTTATCATCATCGCTGATGTCATCACCCTCTACGTCATCACCAACACCTGTGTTATTATCATTGCCCCTGTCAGCAACACTCTGGGAGTCGCCATCTGCGTTAACAGTAGCTGTGTCGTCATCAGGGGGGCCAAAGGGGTCATGGCCTCCCCCCTCTATTTCGGCGGAGGGGGCCAAACTATATCCCCTACCCCCAGGTGAAATTATTATTTTCTAAAAAGCATAGTTAGTAACTTTCCAGGCCCCACTGTGGCCTCGCAACTTTTCAGCACTTCAGTAGTCTTTATTTATCGGTTTGTGTCATTAAAATAAAAGATTCAGCTACTGCCAGGCCCAGTGGCATAACACATGGGGCAGAACATACAACCTTATATCAATAAAGTGAACTACTGACACGAGCTACGGTACTGCAAAATAAACACTAATGTGAGAGGTACAGTACTGGTACTATATTACTGGGATTCATTTTATAATCGTGTTCCTCATCACTCGGCGAGTTATTGTCTTACAAATTAACATGAAATATTGAACTCGTTATCAGACACAAATGAATTTATTCAATCTCTCCATTAATTATCTATGTTGAAGGACACCTGTAAGAACACTTGCCATGACCCCATACACTAATGTCTTCCTCATACTGCATTATCACACTATTTCCTTATTGGAATCATGGAAGCCTAGATCTCCTGCTGACTATTGGATACAGGTTCACTATATAGATCGTCATGAAATTAACCTAACTTCCCTCAAATGCTTTAAAAATGCCTTCCAGCTGGGGAGCTGACGCTTACTCAGACCCCCTAGGCCTTGGGTATTGCCCCCACTCTTCCTCACACCCAAAAAACTTGGGTATGTGCTACTGCTGCGTCGGGTGTGCCCCCCCCCCTCCCCCCATCAAGACTAATCACACGTCATCCTCTCCCTCGTCACCAGAGTCTGTGACGTCACAAGACCCCTTGACGGCCCATAATACGTCTATGGGGGTCGAATCCGAGAACCAGGGAGCGGGGGCAGGCCAGGCCACCCTCTGTTCTACAGTGTCTATGGTCTGCCTGTTCATATACAGCCTACAGTAACCTGATACAGGGCAGTAAGACACAAAGCAGGCCACTGTAGTGTGTGTGTCATGTGTACAGTACTGTCATCAATAATACAGTATGTACAGAGGAAACTGTATGTAGTAATGTAATAAATATATGCAGATATTGCAAATTACATACATATAAAACATGTAAATGAAGGTATATTGTAAGAGGCTTTATTTAATGTACTACCACAAAACACTATACTGTACTGTATTACTTACTAAACTTGTTAATGTAATTACAGGAGTCGGTGTGTCACTACCGATAATAATTATGTTTTAACTGTATATGGAAGCACTTATTTGGCAACACTGACTCTGTAATACTATGGGTGCAGTAATAAGGTGACCAACTTGTGTTTAATATTATCATTATAAATAAACAGGTTAGTCAACTGACTGCCTTAAGGTTTACTGGGTGTTAATTATCACGAAAATAAGGCAAGGAGGAAAATATATAAGCTACTTAATATAAAGACAGTGGCTATTCATCCGTCACCTGTTGAATAGCCTGGTAGTCTACGCAGCCGGGACTGGACGGCTACATAGACAGCCAGGCTAGATAGCCACTGCGTAATATATATTTTTAATTTTTCATGTTTTCTGTTTCTTTATTTTGTATATATTTGTGGTTTTATAAATCTATGACATTTATGGAATGATTTAAATTAGTGTCTTATCGTTAATCATATATGATACTTTTTTCCAACCCTGATTACAAGTGGAATCAGGTTATTGTTATTTATTTATCTATGAGTCTATCCTCATAGTGTAACTGTCTTCTTTCCTGGAACTGCAGTTGAGCTTTATTCTTTCGTATTAAGGACGACTGCTTTGAAACTTGGTGCTTAGGAACGATGGTTCGATATCCCCAAATTTCTGTCTCTCTCTCCTTCTCTTGAAGTAATTAGACGTTGTTTAGTTTTAAGGTCACATCGATACACTGTTCCCTATGAATGGGTACTTCGAGGATAATATCACCTATTAAATAACGCGGTTTTCGGTTCTAGTGTAGTAAGACTTGGTTCTTTTAGATGGTGTTAATATTTACCCAAAGATATGTCACTATTGGATGGTGTCTGTCCACCCAGATTTTGACAACGCGGCCGTCGTGACTTGTAATATAAGCCAAACTACGGGGACGCCATGTTTAGTATTTTATTTCGCAAACACCAGATTATTTTATTGAGTCCAGAGGGGACGCTGTACACAAGGGGTTAAAGAAGGAGCTCATATTATTCACATAATAAGTATTCTCGCAGTCAAAAATGAATACGAGTGTTGTGAACCTTGTTTAGTTTGTTGGCTTTATGACTAAGTATATCACAGACTGGGAATAGCCTATTAAGGAGTCAATTTATTTTTTATCTCTCACAGTGGGTTATGACTGGTCACTAAACATGATGTTATTCAATTAAGATTAAGGCAATCATGCAGTAAGTACGGGGTGACAAAACATTAAGAAACCTTAACTTAAGCCCATGTACACACACTTTGCTATATTCACCGACATAAATTTTCCTTTTATCTGTAAAATAAGAATTGCTATAGAGAAATGCACATTGATGGAAAATATTGCATGAATACACCTAAAATGATCATTCAGGAAGACGAATGCTTCTATGTGAGATATTTAATTAAGTTAGTCATAGATATTTTATATTTTTATGTTGAGAGAAAACGCATTACTTTACAGGTTAACTATCACAATTCTTCATAATCCTCTCCTTTCTTTTTTCTTCAGCGTTAAAACAATCGATTCCTACGTAAATGTACCTTCTTATATATTTCATAGCGTTAGATTTATACCCTGGGCTCTGAAAACTCTTGAAATTTATCCCTGACTTCGAATGATCAAATATTTGTCTTCAATAAACTTAACCCTTTACTGGGAATGTGGAGAAAATTTATAATACATCCTCTGTGAAATTACATTACTAATTTTGCTGTCATCTCTGTGTCGTAGGGATAACCAAACGTATAGAATTGTTGAGAATCCTGACCTTGGTAAATTGCACGCGGCGCCAGACAACCACAGACCACCAACAAAAAATAGCAAATGGTCGTCAGTATTAAGGGCGTTGGCTCCCCACTTACTTCTTGATGTCCTTGAGTCTGCTACCCGCCATCCCTCTCCCCAGGGCATCTGCTGCAGTAACTTAGCAACAAACTAATTGGTCTTCAATTAGAGATAATTAACCCATCCCTATTATTATTGTTGTTGTTGTTATCAGATTCTCTTTAATTCTTTTACTATATGTATGTATGTATGTGAAACTATGGGCTAGTTTCTTTACGCCATTTGCCTCTGTCTACCCAGCAGTAATTGGGAACCTGGATGTTAATTGATTTGCGGATCGCATTCTGGGGTAATGGTTAGCCAGTGCAGATGGTGAGTTGTCCGGTCTTCTCGGACTATTCCTTGACACCATGTAATGCAGCTCATTAACTTAGGGTGTGGTTGTTGTGTTGGCGACAGCTTTTACACCTTAAACAAATTCACGCCTCGGTTGCCCTTGGGCCGATCATCCTCGATTTCGAGGGGCTTCCATTATGAATGTATGTACGTACGTATGTCACTCCACACGCGTTGATTTCGTTCATCACATCTTCACACCTGCTCACGACAAATTTGGTTCTCTGGGAGCACATCTGACCGTTGTAGAACCTCCTTCATACAGAACCATTACAAATATACAATCATCCAAACATTTGTAGAACCATTAAATACTACAATTATTCATCCATACCTGTGTAATGCCATCCACGTCTATAATTCATCCATACCCTGAAAATTTGTGGTCCTTAACTCAATGGATTATAATTCCATCTATAATCGATCACTTTCAGTCTATAACCCTAACTCTCAGCTGTGTTTCCCAGTAGTCAGGAGACGTGAGTAGGGGGCGGTAGGTTTGTGGTGGGTCTTGTCTCGTGTTAAAAACTGAAATGTTATCTGTACCTGTCAGTATATGCCTGTTTCTGTATTAACTTAGTCATATATACTGTCTGTGTATATATTGACAAGTGTAATGAGGTATATCTATGTATGCTTTGTTTATAGCAATATACCAAGGTCTGTCGAAATTCTCTTGACAATGCTACTTGAATTTGTTAAGCACTAGTCGCTACAGCTGTTATAAAATCAAACACACGAGTGGATTTATTTTTTATTTTGTATATATACAGTGTCAACTTTATAAGGATTATATATAAAAATCCAATACATATTTTATAATCGCCAGAATACAAACAACAACAACCTCTGTTTGATGGTAAAAGATCTATTGTGGATCTTCGTCTATAAAAAGTAGCATCCAATGTTTAACCTAACATAAACACGTGACAGCAACAACGTATAGGTAGAATGTACATGGGGTCATCATCTCGACTTGCTGCTGGGCCGATGAAATGACATTAGTGAGGACGAATATGGGTCACAACGCTGAAGAAGAGAGGCGCTGGTGGTGACAAATTGGTTCTCTTGGAGTATTATGGATGAGGCTGATACAAGAAGGTTTTATAGGCCAAGTTTCGTGTTTGTAGGAAGTGGTGAAGAACGCTGAGGAAGAGGACGTCGTCACTTTGTTTACTTCTTGCTGGGGGACACTAGTTCAGGGGTCGATATTCCTGGACCTTGGAGCTGTGCACGAACTGTCGAGGAGGCCATTGTTCAGAGATGAAGATGATCTGAAGGCCTCACAGCTGCTGACGTGACGAAGAAGAGGTCGGCTGATTCTAGTAATCGTGGCAGGGGTTGACAAAGAGATATTACTAGTGGAGTAAACGGACGTACAGCTGAGACTAGAAGATGGGGGATTGGATCGCAAAGTTTTATGCGACTTAAGGTAAACAAGATCACTATGGAGACGGATGCGTAAAACACAACATTCACCAACTATAAGGACGATAGATACACCACCTTAAAAATGGCTCAAGGTATGCGGCGCCACCCATACGTGGCTTAAGAGAGTGAAGGACCACCCAAATAGGAGCTAGAAACACAAGAACCCACATAGCTCATTACAGGCAGGAAAGAATAGCAGGATGAGAAGAGGCTGACGTAAATATTGATGGTAGGAGGCTGGAGGAAGCTAGCAGGCGTAGTAGGGGTAGTTGTAGCACTTGACGCCAGCAGGGTTGGCGGGCTGAGGAGGATGTGCAGGCACTCGGCAGGGGTAGAAGGGATAGGTAGGGCAGTCCACGGCCGTCACACTGGCGGGTAGGTTAGATGGGTAGGCCCAAGCTACCCCAACCATCACCACCACCAGCAACATGAGAATGACCTGTAATGGAGATAAAGAGATGCTGGGAGTTATCTGTGGGCGAGAGATAGGGATTCCAAGAGATACCTGTTACAGGGGGAGAGAAAGAAAGAAAAAGAGTGATCGATCAGAATTTAGTATAAACATATTAATGCCAAAATAAGAAAGAAAACAATCACAGAGGCAGACAAGTATAGCAAGATACGGAACTGAGAATTTGGGCGGTTAGTCGAACGTTACCAAACACAGTCACAATCAACACTGAAGAGATTAGATAAAATAAACCTCATAACTCGTTTAAATTTCACTTTTCCAGCCTTACCAGGGATTGTTAATCATGGGATAAAACAATATTGACACAGAGACGCATAGAAAATTAACTTACGAGATTACGCATTGTTGTGTATCTGTAGGAATCCAAGATGTTTCTGGCGAGGTTCTGGGAGTGGCTGGTCTTATATAGTCTAGCACGTGAGGGGGGGAGGGAGGGGTAGCGTGTGGATGGGCAGGTTTTGGTAGTGTGTTAGTGTTACGTACTGTACATTGGTGGTTGTTTTTGGTTATGAGGTTGTGGTTGTGGTTGTTGTTGTTTGAGTGATGTTCATGTGGTGACGATTGTGGTGGTGGTAGTGAGTGTGTTGTAGTGTTGTTGTGATGGTGGTAGTGTATGTTGTTAATATGGTGGTGTAGTGTGTTTGTAGTGATATGGATGGTGAGACGTAAGTGCTGGTAATAGTGGCTGTTGTTGTTGTTGTTGTTGTTGTTGTGCTTATGGTGGAAAGTTGGAAATGTTAGTGGTTGTGGTAATGATGGTGATGATGGTCGTGGTGATGATGGTCGTGGTGATGATGGTTGTGGTGGTTGTGATGATGGTGATGATGGTCGGTCGTAGTGATGAAGGTAGTGGTAGTTGTGGTGATGGTGATAATGGTCGTGGTGATGATGGTTGTGGTGATGTTTTTGACGGTCGTGGTGATGATGGTTGTGGTGATGGTGATAATGATGGTGGAAATAAATTTGGTAGCAGAATAGCATGAAGTTCTAATGGTGTGAAGGTGGTAGTGGTGATGTTAAGGTGGTGGTGGTGGTGGTAGCGAGAGCACCCGAGCTCGATCCCCGAGCAGGGTAAAACTATGGACAAGTTTCTTTACGCCATTTGCCTCTGTATACCCAGCACCAATTGGCAACCTGGATGTTAATCGATTTGCTGATTGTTTTCCGGGCTAATGGTTAGCCAGTGCAGTTGACGAGTTGTCCGGTCTTCTCGGATTATTCCTTGACACTGAAGAATATAGCTCATTGTCAAGGGGGCTGTAGTTGTTGTGTTGGCGACAAGATAAGACAAGCTTCAACACCTAGGCTACCCCATGGTCGGCCAGCCATCGAACAATGGAGGCAACTCATTATCATATTTGTGGTAATGGTAATGATAGTGGTCGTAGCTGTGGTGATGATATTAGTGGTAGCTGTGGTAATGATAGCTGTTGTTGTTGTGGTGGTGGTGTCAGTATAGGCCAACAGGTACTTGTTCAGGTGATTCTAATTACGACAGGTCGCTTGTAAGACGGTGGCCAAAAACACAATCTCACTCTCCTTGTAGCCAGAGGCAAAAATCTCCCTTCAAACACCGTAATATGTGACCATGATGCCCTCCCCCATATGTCCTTCACGATCGTAGTGTACACGAATTAATTAATCTGTTTTTGGTATGATGTTCGTAAGTAATGGATCAGCGAATCGTATATTTGTAGTTTATCATAACATTAAGATTAGATTCTGAATACTGAAATATTCTTAGGACAATATTTGACTTTACTTAAGACGTAACAACACAACCATCCATCTCACTTAAGTTACGGCAAAAAGAAGACTGATAAAATGGCGTCTGATTTATACTGAGACTTTACCGCAATCAGATGGTATGTTCTCGCTTGTCCAGTTAAGGTAAAAAAAAAATATCGTTTTTTTTTTCTCGGGAGCGGGATTTTGGTTAATTTCCTAGGAATATTAAGGTTAATTTTCGTGTATAACTTATTTAACATTTAAGGTTTATTTATGTAGTTAGTTGTGTATTGTTCACTACTCTTTAACAACCTACTACTACCACCCTGTACTGTCCCACCTAGCCATCCCACCTAACCACCACCACCACGACACTACTATCTCACCTAACTACCACCAATACCACCACCATCCCCACTACACACAACCACCACCATTACCCACCTACCACACACAACCACAACAAAAAGATGACTCCCCTGGGTGTGTCCTTCAAGCTATTCAAGACACCAGCACCCCCCATCAGGAGTAACACGCCCCGGTTTCCTTAAGAATTCACAATGACAAGTTAACATTTTCCCGATAACTTGACATTAGAGACTGCATTTAATCTAAGTTTCAGTGTAAAAATAAATGTATAAATGTCTTTATTATTATTATCAACGTTAATAATATTCTCTTAGGACAGTGTTCTTTCAGGTTAGGAATGCCAGCAAAGGGACCAAGCAATGACATTATGTCCCAGAGCATAGAGCACTGACTGACCAGGAATGTTAGGGGAAGCAGGGGATGTTGGGAAGGAGGGGTAGGGAGGGAGGGAAGGAGCTGGGATGGGGAGGCAGGGGATGTGGGAAGGAGGTAGTAGGAGGTGGTAGGGATGCTGGGATGGGGACAGGATGCTGGGAGGGTAGGGAGGAGGAGGTAAGGATGCTGGGATGTAAGGGGATAGGGAGGAACGACTCAGGGAGGGCTAGGGGGGAGGAGCCAGAGAAGAGAGGAGGAGTTGACGGTAGATGAGAAGAAGGTTGGAGAAGAAAGAAATTAATGGCATAGAATAATAATAATAATATAATAATATAAAAAATATCTTTTTCACACAGGGATAGAATGAGTCCCTTGAACGAGACATCTAAAATAACTCAAATACGAAAACATTTACAAACGAAGGTTGTCTACGATCAGAAACTGTGTGTGCGACATAACCAGAATCCACTCTATCCATCAAACATGGAAACATATATACCTGTCTTCTCCACACCTCTAATTACAGAGACTAATGTAAACACAAGCTTATAACAAATCCGCATTCTTCACAGTATCAAACGAATCATTAAACCTACTTACTTACATAATCCCATTCAGCACAGGTAGTAATCTAAACGTACACACACACACCACACACACACACACACACACACACCAGAAGCCTATCAACTTCCAAGGTGTACTGTTGAAAGTTGACTATACACAAAGGTCGCCTACGATACCCGTAATATAATGGCTCGCTCTAGGGGCAAATAAAACTGGTAGTTTCTCTCTTTCATTATTGTTTTTTCTGTCTCCTTTATCGTTCTTCCTACTCACTTATATTAATAACTTTTCTTCATCCTCTTCCTCCCCTACATCATCAACAATCCTCCTCCCCCTCCTCCTCCTGCCAAGATTTTACCTTCCTCCTCCATCTCCCCTAACCCCTTCTTTCACCTTTCTTTCTCCTTTCCTCCTTCATCACCTCCTCTTTAATCCCCTTCCTCCCATCCTTCCCCCTTTTTCAACACCTTTCCTCCTTCCCCACTTCCTTACTTCCTCCACCTCTCCACTTCCCTCCTCCATCTTCCGCCATCACTCCTTACATCCTCCTCACCTCCCCTCACTTCTTGTCCTCCCTCACCTCCCCTCACTTTATCCTCCTTCTCCCCCTCATTCCTCTCCTCCTCACCTCCTTCAAACACCTTCACTAATTAGACTTCCTGTCTTACCTGTTCACAAACAAAAAACAGATAAATCCCTAGACCAGTCAAGGCCAACATCAAGACGTAGATTGTTTCCAAGCATGAGAAAAATTAATTAATTTAATTGTTAACTTCTACAAGCTAACGATTGTTAACAGTTAATTTTAAAATACTGCTAACTTTATGGAAATTTTATCAAATTAATCGATTAACTTCGATTAGTCATCCATTAACCCTTTAAAAATTACAATGATGTAATATAAAACACGCGGACCTTTGAGGAGTATCCATACCGTTGGCTTTCTGTACAAAAACATTCATGCTTGTAGATAATCAGGCAGTTGAGGGTGAGGCGAAAATCTCCCTTCAAACACCGTAATATGTGACCATGATGCCCTCCCCCATATGTCCTTCACGATCGTAGTGTACACGAATTAATTAATCTGTTTTGGACAATATTTGACTTAAGTTACGGCAAAAGAAGACTGATAAATGGCGTCTGATTTATACTTAGTGACTTTACCGCAATCAGATGGTATGTTGTCTCTGTCCAGTTAAGATAAAAAAAATATCGTATTTTTATTTTTATCTCGGGCGGGATTTTGGTTAATTTCTAGGAATAATAGGTTAATTTTCGTTATAACTTATTTAACATTTAAGGTTTATTTATGAATAGTAGTGTATTGTTCACTACTCACTCAACAACCTACTACTACCACCCTGGATGTTGCACCATGGCCTCATAATAGGCAAGAAATGTGCCAAGCTGTGCCAAATTATTTCTCGAATAGGGACTTGAATTTTCGTTTTATAACAGCGGGTTAAGTTAGAGAGTTTAAGTTAGGCTGTGTTAAAGATAAAGCAAATTAGGTTTAGAAGCTAGGTTTAAATAAGGTTACGTTGCATAATGGCTATAGGCTATAGGGTTAGATTAGATTTGGCTTGTTAGTTTTTAGGTTACGTCACATAATGGAAGGAATGCGGTTTGGTTACGTCACATAATCTTAAGTTATTTTATAGCTTAAGGTAAGGTTACACGTCACATAATGGTTAGTTAGGTTAGTTTAGATTAGATTAGTTAGGTTAGCTTCGGATGCTGCTCAGGCTATTAATGAGGTACTTCCTGACGCTCTCTGAATGAGTCACTGGACCTCATAAAATCCCAGTACTGGTCACAGGCTGGAGCACACGGCTGTCACGGTCAAGGCAGCCTAAGACACTGCCATGTTTTCTATCAGGTTCCGTGGCTCGATCTTACCTGCTGACCCATCACGAGGAAACTACTTTTTACGGTGTTTGAGATAATATTAGGTTAAGTTAGGGCTAAGGTTAGGTAACTTAGATGAAATTTAGATAGGTTTAGATTAGGTGATTAGGTTCGTTAGTTAGATTAAATAAAGTTAAGTTAGAATAGTTTCGTTAGATTAGTTAGATTAAATTAGAAATATCATCCAAGTTAACCTTACGATATCGCAAAGGTAATAATAAAAGCGCATTTATTCTCTAGCTCAGTCTCGTTAATAATGCGATATCGTAACTTTATGAGAGTAAACTACGTTCTTCCTGATAACGAAAGAGAGATTAATGGTGAAAAGAATCTTTGACCTTACGAAACTAACGAGACGGTAAAAATTATCTTAACAATATTATGTAGTTAGCGAGATGAGAATATCCTTCTGTCCTTACCTATATCCACCTGTAATTATGGTCAGACAGGTGGTGAGGTTTAACACATCGTGAACCATCTGAATCTGCATGTACTCTATTTCACACCAGCTGTTCCTCACTTACAACCCTTACCCAAAAAACTACAACTGACTCTGATTCTAAATAAGGTTGAATGAACGCACCCACA